GATTTCGTCCATCCGCCGACCTTTTTCTATGTTTGTTTGTTACTTATTATTCTCTATGGAGGATTTTTATTATTTGGTTGGTATGTATTGATGGTTTATATATATATGTGTGTGTGTGTATATATATATATATATATATATATATATATGCTTTATTTTTTTTAAAGAATACTGCCTTGCTGCTTTTCTTTTTGAACACGTTGAGTAGACTTGAACTTTTTCTTATCTCTTGAACTTATTGATACTTTTTCATGAAATTATTGATACTTTTTCATTGTATTTTTGGTTCAAAACATTTTTTTTTTATGCTCCCGTCTTTCTTTGCAGGTAATAGAGAAGCAAAGACTAATAGAATTTGCGGAAGCACTTCGCAGTAAGCTCAACTATTTTGATGAATTGGAAAATGTAAGGTTCGAATGCTATCTTGCCTAGAGTCTAAACATTTGCTCAAGTAATATATGTTTCAGACGTGTTTACCTATCCCTCCAGTATAGGATATAAATGCAAAGGAAACAGAACTAAGTTGATTTTTGATTCACTTAGCATCTTCATTAACATATGCTTAAGTTGTTTAACTCAATTTTTCATATTATATGCAATTTTCTTAGTTTAAACAAGTCGATCTGGTTATTGACATGCAAATTAAGTAAAAAAAAAGAACGAGTTTTCATTTGGTTGTTGTTCTTATTTTCTACATCTAAGCTAAACTATTTAGTTCTTATCATTTCAACATAATTTATGCGTGGCTGTCAAACTTGTTGCAGATATCTACCAACTTTTATTCTCCAAATATGAATGTTGTAAATCAGAACTTTCTCACTCTGCTCAAACGACTTGATGACTGCATATCGTAAGTAGATACTTATTTGAGTAATTAATTCTAATTATTAGAAGGTTGTCTTGAGTTGCATGCCTTAGGGCTCAGAGATTATTTATTAAAAAATGCCTTGAAATATTTCTGCTCGATATTAGGTATGTTGAAAACAATCCACAGTATGCGGAATCCGGTGTTTACTTGCAGGTCTACATATTTATATGATACATTGCGGCGAAAACTTATTCACGAAACAAACATCGAATATGGTGGTCTCGTGTCTGTGGATGGAATGGAATGGCATAATTTTTTAGGAAAAAGCGATGGGCCAATTGATATTTTTGAGAAGGCAAAGTTCTATGCATTGCTATGGGCTGCTTCAGGTTCCTGTTTACTTTGGTCATTTTGAATTAGGAAGATGTAATAGGGATTTGATTTGAGATATCGTTTGTGTTTATCTTGCTCTTTTTGTATGATAGTCAGTTTTTCACACCTGGCCATTTTTGTTTCTTTTTGGTTTGAGGATTCCTTGTCCTCTGCCCTTGTTATTGAATTTTATCAATAAAGTTTTTATTGTCAAAAAAATAAGCACGTAAAAAAAAATAGCAAAATGTGTCATAAAACAATACTTCATATATTTATTTCTTTTTGCTTAAACAATCCAATGCAGGTAAATAAATAAATCACATAGCTTCACTCTAGCATGCTTCATTAATAATCCTATTATACCAATGGTATTTTGATTAGGAAATGATAATCCTAATCGAAGTCAGGCGGCTCCACCTAGCCTAATCGGAGGGCCTCACCCATCAATGTGTGAATTTGCTCATTTACCTAAGTGTGTGTGTGTGTGTGTGTATGGATATGAATATGTTTGAAATGTTTTTTATTTGTGGTCTTATAATTAATTATCATTTGACATAGCTCGTTTCTTGGTATGAAATTTCTCAACAAATTTATTATATTTTCTTGCAAATTTTTTAGAAGAACCCCACCAAAATTGATAATTATGGTATTTAGTTGTGTTATCAAGACTGCAACTGTCCCTGCCAAGCTTTGCAAGAGAGAGAGCACAAAACAATTCCACAACTTGAAGACTGCAACTGTCCCTGAGTAATCGTCACTAATGCTTCTTTTAGTTGTAATTATATTGTGAATGAAGAAATGAAAAAAAAAAGAGAATTAATTATCATAAATTTATTGTTAAAAAATTCAAAATCATATCTAGATTTTTTTTAAAAGTTAAACAAGTATTTCTAAATACCAAAAATAATTATATATATTTAAGTTTCATATCATGTCTATTTTGGTCATTTTACATACCCACAACAATTCAACCTCAAAATTTACCAAACGCTATTACACTGATTTTGGAACCAGCACAGTTACTATAATTACAATTTACGAAACACTTAGCTGCTTATTGTAACAGTTGTTTTTTTCTTCAGCACAGTTAAAAGCAATTTTTCTAAAATCCACAGCACTATCAAACTAAGCCAATAACGCCTTCCTTCATGGACACTTGACGGAAAATGTCTATATGAGTCAACCCTCAGGCTTCATTGACAAGAATCATCCCACATATGTGTGTCACCTTAAGAAGGCGCTATATAGATTAAAACAAGCTCCACGGGCATGGTATCATGAACTTAGACAATTTCTGCTAGCGGTTGGATTCGTTAATTCCAAATCGGATGCCTCTCTCTTTATCTATAATCACAGGCACCTAACTATTTATCTTTTAGTGTATGTGGATGACTTGATTCTCACAGGAAACGATGACCGCATTATTGGCCAATTCACCAATCAACTTGCGGCAAAATTTTCAATCAAAGATCTTGGCACCCTTTCCTATTTTCTAGGATTTGAAGTCATTTATTCATCTAATGGTGTTCTCCTGTCACAACACAAGTATATTCATGACCTATTGGAGAAGGCCAACATGCTCAACGCAAAGGATGTTCACACGCCTATGTCTCCCAATCATGTGCCAAGTCTCACTGATGGTATCTCCCTCACATATGCAACAGAGTATCGTTCAATTGTTGGCGGTCTTCAATACTTATCTCTTACACGTCCGGACATTGCTTTTGCTGTTAACAAATTGTCTCAATTTATGCATCGTCCTACCACTCAACACTTGTCTGCAGTGAAACGATTACTCTGTTATCTACGCGGTACCATCAACCATGGTTTGTTTCTTCATTGCCATTCTCCATTGTTACTTCATGGTTTTTCTGACACTGATTGGGTCGGCAACACAAATGACCGCACCTCAACAAGTGCTCATGTCATCTTTCTTGGACATAATCTCATTTCTTGGAGTTTCAAGAAACAACGTATTGTTGCTCGGTCTTCTACTGAAGCTGAGTATCGAGCAGTTGCCTCCATTACTGCTAAAATTACGTGGCTACAATCATTGTTACAAGAACTAGGGATTTCATTACCAACAAATCCAACAGTTTATTGTGACAACATTTGTGCTACATATCTTTGTGTAAATCCGGTGTTTCACTCTCGCATGAAACACATTGCCATAGATTTCCATTTTGTTCGAGAAAAAATCCAAAGTGGTGCCGTCTGAGTTTCTCATGTCTCCTCTGATGATCAGTTGGCCGACGCACTAACTAAGCCGCTATCTCGTCACCGGCTCCATACCTTGCGAGTCAAGATTGTAGTCCTTCCCAAGGACACCATCTTGAGGGGGCATATCAAGGGAAATGCCTAAGTCAATTATTGCGTTGCTGTATTTTATCTATTTTTGGATGTAAATATTTTGGCCTTAATTAGCTGCTGCATTGCTGGCAATTAGCTGTACAGAATAGTTCTCTTTCTTCATTTTCCAACTGTGTATATTGTATATATATATACTCATTCATCCTTAATGAAAAGCAATCAAGCCATTTTCATTTCTCAAATTTATTATTTCTCTGTCAACGTTTTGTATTAACAAAAGCTTCTTATTTTCAAAATTTTAACAAAAGTTGTAGGTTGTGTTCACTATTAAAGCTGAACTCATTAATGGTTTAGGATCGAGGTATCATGGTTAGATCAACTTTCCGAGGTTTATGTTGGGACAGGGATCGTCGTCATGGTTATTGCCAATGCCAATGGGCAAGGCTGGTCACTGAGGTTGGATTAACAAGTTGGGACCGGTATATGGTCGAGCTGAAATCGTTGTCGAGGATAGATTGAAGGGCTCCAACCGATACCGAGAGGACTAGGAACGCCATCGGGTTGGCTCAACAAGCCAGATCACCGTTGGGGTCAAACCGGCAGACCGGAACTAACGACATCGTTGAGCCAAGACTAGCAACGAGGTCGGGCAGGGACAGCCGTCAAGCTTGGGTCGGGACCATCGTCGGGATTGGGCCGACAAAAGGGACCATAACTGAGGTTGGGGTATGAGTGGATGATGAAAATGGGTTGACACAATTTTTAACGATCTATTCACAAATAACTTCAAAAATTTAGGACCAAATTGTAAATTTTTCCAAATTTAGGAGAAATGTAATTTTTAACAAATTAGGAGTCAAATATAATTTTGAAAAAAAAAATTAAGAAGTCAAAATATAATTTTAAAAAATTAAGGGACCAAAATATAATTGTAAAAGGTTAAGACGACAAAGTGTTATTTTTAAAAAGTTTAGGTCTCAAATTATAATTTTAAAAAGATTAGGGGTCAAACTACATCATTTGACAATTTTATTTACTTTTTGGTTTTAAAAAACAAAAATAAGTTACATGTCTTTTAAATATAATTTTGATAAACAAAGAGTAAAAGGTAGTTTCCAAACATATTATTTTTATTTGTTCTAAAAATGGAGAAAAAAAAAAACAAAATGAATTTTTTTTTTGGTCTATAAAAATTTAAAATGAATACGTTATCAGATAAGGTCAAACATATTCATTGAATTTGAAAAACTTATTTCAATGTATCCCTTGCACACTTTGTAGACAAAAAAATAGGGCAAAAAGACATAAATACCCTTAATTTTCAAAGAAAATAATTTATTTTTCAAACATTTAAAAGAATTAAGGAGTAAATTGCAATATTGCAATACTCTAAATTTTCATTTTTTTGCGTAATACATCTTAAACATTTAATTTTTGCATATTACAATCTGAAAAATCAACAACAATTTATCGACATCCAATATCTAAGGAGTGTTATTAAATTGATGATTTAAGTCACAAGATTCGTATATGAAAGGAAAAGTTCATCATTTTCAAATCAGATCATATGCGAATCTTGTATACTTAACTACCAATTTGATAATGCTTGTTAGCCATTGGATTTTAATTGTTACTGATTTTAAAACTCACGATGCAATTTACTAAAATTAAAAGTTTAGAGTGTATTAAGCAAAAACTAAAAAACAAAAAACAAAAAATTCAAGGTTCAACTGTCCAATTTACCTATGATAAAAACATTTAAGTTCAAAATAAAATTATGAAATTCATGTTTTTTATATGTTTAAAATAAGTTTCATAGATTTTTCATTAAACAATGTATTTTTCATAAATAAATCCGGCCTAATATTTAAGGATTTCATTTGCTTTTCTAATTGTTTTTTGGTCCACAAAGTATGAATGAATTTGCAACAAGTTTTTCCATTTCATAAAATACCTTCGTAGTTTCTGAAACCAGAAGGATCAATCACGAAAAAGAAAAAAAAAGTATATTTGTATAAATTCCCATAGTTCAATAAACACAATCCCCTTCTTATGCTTTTTTTAAAATAAAAAAACTTTCTAACAGTTGTCCCTTTGTCATTGTATTTATTCAGTAAACAACTCCCTTAAAACCTAATCTATATCTTTGGCAGAAAAAAATAAAACAAAACAAAACAAATATTAGCATCACTTTTTTTCCACTCCCTTTATCACTTGCTGCGTTTATTGTTTCACACGTTGACTTCAATAACATGATGAATTATTATTTAAACAGAAAATGATATAGTGAAGTTCACACAGAAAAAGTGATGCTAGCATTTCTTAATAAATAGATACTATGACGACCTTCCTGGGTGGCCGTCACTGTAGTTGAAATTAACTTGTACTTACTGAGATTTTTTAAAATTTGCGGAACATTTTTTTTAAAAAAATTATTACTTAGAATGCTGCAGCATTTTAAAATGCTATAGGAATGTGTAGCATTCTTTTTTTAAAATGCTGTAGGAATGCTGTAGCATTCTTTTTAAAATGCTGTAGGAATGCTGTAGCATTCTTTTTAAAATGCTGTAGGAATGCTGTAGCATTTTTTAAAAAAAAAATTTGCGGAACATTTTTTTTAAAAAAATTATTACTTAGAATGCTGCAGCATTTTAAAATGCTATAGGAATGTGTAGCATTCTTTTTTTAAAATGCTGTAGGAATGCTGTAGCATTCTTTTTAAAATGCTGTAGGAATGCTGTAGCATTTTAAAAAAAAAAAAAAAAAAAACTTACTAATACGACATATGTTACGAATTGCTTTCTTGATAAAAAATTCAAACGTTAACATATATGTTTATCAAAGCATATGGATATATATATATATATATTTATATATACTTACTCCGTAAGTTTGCTTACTAACAATCATA